TTTTTATTTTGTTTATAAATAAGTTTAATATTAAAAGTTTTTGCTTTTTTATAAGGCCCATCAAATTCAATTTCCTCGACTTGCTAAAATGGCTCGCGATTATTTAGCTATTCCTGCTACTTCTGTATCATCTGAGCGACTTTTTTCTTCTGGAGGAATTATGATTTCTGATAAAAGATTTAATCTAGCACCGAAAACAATTAGGACTAGTCAATGTTTAAAATCATGGACTCAGGGTCCTTTAAAAGATAAATTAGGCATTTAATTTGTATTTTTTTGCTTTTCTTTCTTATTTTATTTGAACTTTATATACTGAACTGTATTTATATATTAAATAATAAATCGAATTATATCATAAATATATACTAATATATACTGAAGCTTGAATGTATACAAACTTTTTTTGAACTGTACCAAATTCATACTTGTACTCGTACAAATCTAAAACTCAACACGAACTGAACTTGCACTTATATTTAATTAAACTTGAACTGTACCGAACTCGAACCGAACTTGAACCGAACTCGAACTTGAACTCGAACCGAACTTGAACCGAACTTGAACCGAACTCGAACTCGAACCGAACTTGAACCGAACTCGAACTTGAACTCGAACCGAACTCGAACCGAACTTGAACCGAACTCGAACTTGAACTGAACTCGAACTCGAACTTGAACCAAACTCGAACTGTACTCGAACTCGAACTTGAACCGAACTCGAACTGTACTCGAACTTGAACCAGACTTTTTGAAGGGTTCAAGAAAGATTCGAAGTTTGAACCAGACTTTTTGATGTGTTCAAGAAAGGTTCAAAGTTCGAACTAGACTTTTTGATGTGTTCAAGAAAGGTTCAAAGTTCGAACCAGACTCGAACCAGACTTTTTGATGTGTTCAAGAAAGGTTCGAAGTTCGAACTGAACCGAACTCGAACTGAACTTGTTGAACTCGAACTGAACTCGAACTGAACCGAACCAAATTTTGGAACCCTAGTTAACTGGTGTTCATTCTTTTTTAAGTTTTGGTTCTACACTTTCAAATTGAACTTGTTATCAATATAATTGTACTGTTGTCTAATCATCTTTGTAGTTAAATATTAAAAAGTTATGACTCTCCAAGTTTTGTTCTTTAAATTCATCTTTATCAAAGCTTGATTCATTATCAGAGTCTTCAGAAGATTTGTCTGAACTATTATAATCTTGTTTATAAATAAATTTGATTTTGATAGTTCTTTTTTGGTTATTCCAATCTAATATTATAATTCTATTGTATAGGTTAAGTTTGGTTTTAATCTTGTTCAATCAGTCCATTTCAATTACTATACTATAAGTACAGACTTCAATAACAATGACATCAACAGGAATTACAATTCTGGCAATTGTGATTGGAAAGTTGTCGATTGCTTCAAGAGGTTGTTTAGATTCATTATTGATATCAAATATTATAATGTTAAACTTGTATTGAATTTTAATTTCATGCTTCTTGAGAAAGTTATGGTTAGCAACATACCCAGAAGCTCCAGTATCAATGATGAGATTGATAGGAACAGTTTTAACTTTAGCTTTACACCAGGCTGAGATAGTTCTAATTTTTTGTTCAACTATTCTAGTAGTTTTTCTGGTAATTTTTCTTTTGGATTGGGTAAGCCTTCTCATAGCCTTTGACATTTTGAGTTATTATTCTGGTAAAATTTGAATTAATTATTCAAAGATTATATTGATTTTATTAGTTATCAAATCATTCAATATGTTACATAAAATAGATTGAACAGCCAGAATAGGTTAAGTAATTTTACCTTTCTTCTTTTTAGTATTTTCTTGGATGCAATTATTCTGACAGTTGGAATTAGTGATTGTTTAATTTGAATTTCTGGAGCAATATATTTGAAATAGTTGGATTACTTGGTTCAGCCATAATCATATTTTCATTAATAGTAACTTCAAATTTATTCAATTTAGTTTTTTTTCTATCACTGACTAAATAATTATAGATAGCAAGTAATATTGAATTGGTAAAATTAGTTGCTTTTATTATTGATCAGAAGTTAATACTTATAGTACTATTAATAATAGTTGAATTTGTAATAGAAGATTGATCTGATCAGTACTATTAATATTTATTGGTATTGGTTTAGAAGGAGGAGGTTATTTCTTGTTGGATTGTTATCATTATTATTTGATTAATTATTTTGATTATTTCAATTTGATTGATTTCTGATAACATTTTATCGATAAGAACTAGTATTATAAGACTTGTTGCAATTTCTTAATGGATATTCAATCTCATTACAATTGTAACAAATTGGTGACTGGTGCTTCTAGACTTTTTAACCTACTGGTCAAAGTCTGAAGTATAGTTGTAAGCTGAGTAAGATCAGGTGTTGGTCTGTTTTGGATTTGATAATATGTAATAGTTAACTTTTCTGAGTTGGTTTCTTCAACAGTTTTAGCCATATAAATAATGTTTAGTAATATTTCATTAGCATTTATTCTAATCTATTTGTAAATTTCTGGTTTTAGATTTTACTTATAGATTCTGGTTTTATAATTATCTAAATAATTATTGGTAGAATTCACTTTTTTCAAAAGAGTATTGAACTAATTAGTATATTTATTGATACTTTCAGTTTGTTGAAGAGTCAAGTTCATTTTGCTATTATTTAACTTTACAAGGAGTGTGGAATTTTAAGACAAAATGATATTTGAAATTGTATTTATCATTTTCAATATTTGTCTAGTCAGTTAAAGTGAGAGTATTATTGATAGCTCTTTGATCAAATCAAGCAACAGCAACACCTTCCAAGTATCCACATACTATTTGAAATTTGTAAATATCAGTAACTCCATTGACAGTAGCAGTGACTTCAAAAATTCTGAGTTATTTAACAGAATCTTGATCATTATTCTTGAATTTGTGAATTGGAATATGATTTTTCTCAGCTCTTAATTCAATAATAAGAGCAACAGTAAGAGCATTTAGTTTATTAAGAATATTATCTAAATCAGCCATTTTTTCATTTTCAAATTCTTCAGTTGCTTCTTCTGGGTTGGAGTTTAATTCTTCTTCTGATGATAATTCTTGATCAGAAATATTCAGTTCTTCTTCAGTATTGGTTTGTATAATTAATTATTCTTGAAAATTAATGTCTTATTGATCTTCTGCAGATTTTTTTGATAATTATTTGTTGATTTTCTATTATTTTAATGTTGTTAACCATTTCAGAATAGTAATTATTAGATATAATAAAATCTTTTTTGAATTCTAAGTTATGGAAGCCTTTAAAAGTTGTTCTGACTAGATATAATTAGTGATCAAGTATGTATTTGTTTTGATAAATAAGGATATTTAATAGTCAGATTATTCATCTTCTTAGTTCTTCTTTTTTGATAGTAGCAAGATTTGCTTTAAAATATCTTCAAATAATTGTTCAGTGATAAAAGATTCAGATATTGTAGCTTGCTCTTGGATCCAAATAAGAAAATTAGTTAAGGGTTTAGATATTGTATCAGAAGGTGAAATGCAAATATAGCAGAAGTATTGTTAAAGAATTTGAAGTGGTATTTCTTAATGTTAAATTTCCAAGTAAGTGTTAAGATGTAATTTAATAAGTTCTCTAATAAAAGTATAATAATTATTCATAAAGGAGTTTTAAATATAAAAAGAGGGTTTTTGGAATATTAATCTACAGAGAGAGCACCAAAATATTACAAGTTTGTTCACTAATCATAAAATTAGTTTATAAACAAGAATCTGAATTGGAAGAGAGTATAAATTGATAAAGAAAATATTAAGAGAAAAGAGGGATATCTAAGACCTATATTAATTTTTACAAAAATTGTGTTTACTTGAAAAGGAATAATAATATAAAAGAGTTATGAGAAAGTAAAGATCAAAGAAAAGAAAGAGTATAAATAAAGAGAATTCAATGAGTGATTCTATACTTGTGTAAAGCTTTCTAGAACTAAAGTAATATAATTAATAATAATAATAACAAAGATTCTTTCACTTTGTTCTTCTTATGATGAGAAATATTAGTTAACAATTAAAAATTCAAATAACAAAAAGTAAAATACTTATAATCCAATTTTAATAATTTCAATATAGCAATTTGTTCAGTACAATATAATATAAAGCTCAATAATTCAATAACAGTGATTTGTTCAGTATAATACAATATAAAGTTCAAAGTTAATAACAGCAATTTGCTTAATGCAATATGATATAAAGCCATTAGCAATTTGATAGATTCAATATGATATAAGATCATTTATACACAATATTTGAAGTATATAAAGAAAATATGAGAAATGAGAAGTATTTAGAGAAAGATTTTTGTTAAGAGAGATTTTTATTTTAGTTACAACATGTTGAGTTAAGGCTCAGATAGCATCTCTATTTATAAATTACAAAAAGTGAAATAAATAATTATAAAAATATATAAAAATAAAATAACTAATTATAAAAGTGAAAAGTGAAATATCAAAAAAGTGAAATAATAAAAGTGAAAAATAAAAAGTGAAATAATAAAAAGTGAAATAATATATATAAAGTGAAAAATAAAAAGTGAAATAACTAAAAAGTAAAAAATAAAAAGTGAAAAATAAAAGTGAAATAATGTATATAAAAGTGAAAAATAAAAAGTGAAATATTGAAAAAGTGAAATAATAAAAATAAAAAATAAAAAATGAAAAATGAAATAATACTAGAAAATTTTATTATTATATGAATATTTTTAGAATTTTCATATTATTTGACTATTTTTGAATTTGCAATTTTTATGTTACTACTATAATAATATTTTCTAGAATTCTTAATTGGTATTTGATCTATATATAAAAAATGTAAAAATTACTATATACAAATAATATTTTATTTCTTTCACAAATTACCAAATACAACAACAAACAAATTATCACCTGAAGATAATACAAAAAAAGACATTGATCCAAAATCTATAGTAAAAATCTTTTTGGTTCAAACTCATTAAAAATCAAATTATAAGTAATTATCCTCTTATATCAAATGATTTTTGGATTACTCTCAACAAAATATATCAAACATTACTATATAACATATCATCACACTTTAATTTATCAAATGAATAAATCATCAAATAATAACAATTAGCATCCAAATTAACTCACTTAGTTTTTCTCTGATGACTCAGTTCAATATACTGAAACTCTATTAATTACTACAGAATCAGCTTGAATTACATCTACAAATAATGATTATTTTAACTTTTTTCTAAATGATATTATTTCTACTA